GAATGAGTTTAGACAACCGCGGAAACGCTTCGCGCAACATTTAGGTGGCCACGGTTCAAAACCAATGGTACCATTTTGGGAGAGGTGCACCACCCATTTTAGTCTGTTTTAGTGGGGATTGGGATGTTCACTTAAAAATACGGGGTTTTGACCCATGGCCACGTGACCGTGGTCCGCATGAGGTCCTCCCAAAAGGACACAACCAAACAACTCAGGAAGAAAATCGGCTGCACGCAGGGCATTGGCCCAAATCCCTATGTCACGGCCTTCCATATGAATAATGCGATCCGTCCTCCTGCTGTTGGTGCAGGCAGGGTTGGGCGAGTCTGCGCCCAATTTTAAACCAGTTTTCATCACAAGACTCGAACAATCTCCGTTGAGTCTCCCCGAGGAATGCGAGGGGTTTAGGGGAAACACCATCTTAGCGGCAAATTCAGAGGTGATGTTTTGGCCAATTCCCGCGCAGGCCACCCTAGCCATCCACGATCATAGTGGCCTTGTGGCGGTCGCCGTGGACCATGTAGGCCGCACAGAGACGAACTCGACGGTCGGCGAAAGCTCCGTACTGAACTTCTCGACAGTGGGTAGCGGCTTGGTACTATCCCCACACATTTTTTGTTTCGTTGGTTGCTATTTGCTTTGTTTCGGCAAGACGGATTTCAACCTGTTTAATGACGATGTTCCCAAAGACACCTTCTCGCGGTCTAAGACCCAGGATTGCTGCGGCGAGATGTGAAGTTTTCACTGGCGGCGCTCCCTCCGGACTTGGAGACGGAGTCGAGGACGGCGGGTTGCGCCCAAATTCAAAAGCGCACATTGAGATCTCATCGTGCAAGCTGACATGGTTGCTTTGTTTTGGCCCCTAAGATGGTTGCTTTGTTTTTGGTTTCCCTTTTAGAATACCAACCAAACGGAGTCCACCATTTTGAGAAACTCCGCAGAATGCACACGCCCCCTCGCCCACATGCACTCACAGCCGCAAACGCACACCCTGACATGCACAAGCCCGCCAACACGCGGACTAGTTACATGCTTGCACTCGTACATATCGGCACACACCCACATGCACAAACACACGCCCACCTGCACAAACACTCCCATGCCTTGGGGCGCACACCCACACATGGCCCCCCCACCCCTGTTTTGGGTTCTCTTTTTTCTTCTTCTTCTTCTTTTCTTAAAACTGCTAAATGGGGTGCCCAACAAACGAGACACACGCGCACGCGTGGATGCCCTGGGGTGGCAGCGATTCTTCGCCAGGAGGGTGGCCACACTGGCCACGGGCTTCGTGGGGGTCTTGGTCTACATGGCGGTGGTGGTAGGCGGGCGGAGTTGGGCGCCGGTGGAAGCCATCTGCGGATGAAAAAGGTCTTAGGTAAAGTCATGTCGTACCATGTGCGGAGCCATGTCGACATTCAGGTAACCCCTGGTTCCCACCAAACCATGTTTTGGGTTATTGGGGTAAGTCCGCAGAACCGTGGGCTCAACCTCCGGTTTAGACCCAAGCGATTCGGGGTGCGAGTGAACCGAGCGATTCCGACGAAGGGGATCCAACGCTTTCAGTTGGACAAGCAACATGTAGAGCTCTTGAGCTCAACCCCTGCCATCTGTTGGGCATGAGTCCAGAAAATTGATGGTTTCTTCACAAATGGACGCGTCCTTTTGATGGCACGGCGGTTTTTGGGGGTGTCAAAGGGGAAGGCCACAAGTTTAGGGGACACCCAAAATCTTGCCCGCCACCAACCGCTGGTAGGCCTTTCTTCGAGCGAGGCAAAGGCGAACTCGGATGAGGACCGGAGCTTGATGTCTGCGCTGCCAGAAGCAGTGCCCTGGATGATTCTCTCCATGAGCCTGTCCATCTTCAACAAGTGGCTTGGAAATGAGGGAGATGGTTTCCATCGCTTTTTCTTTTTTTGTTTTTCCCTTTTCTTGTTTTTCTTTCTGTTTTTAGAGGTTGCTTGTCTTCTTCTCAGGGGCATTTAGGCTCTTTTTTCTGGATTTCCTCGTATTTTTCGTGTTCTCCGAAAGACCTTGTTCCCATGTTTCGAATTTTTCCCGACAAACGGCTCTCCTGGAGGGCATCTGCATTTCCGGCCAGAAAGATCAGCCTTGGCTGAGTTGCCTCTTGAAGTGGGAAGTTTAATGGGAGCCCTGTGGCAGAAATGAAGCGAAAGGGGGGTGTCGTAGGCTTTTTGGGTTGTCAAAGCCACACTTCGAACCGCCAGGTCCCAGCCCGAACCTATCCCCGGTGCCTTTCTTGGGCGCATCTTTTGATTTGGGGCGAACAGACCTCAGACCTCAGGTCGGTTTTCCTGAACCACAGAAACAACACAGGCCTTTTTACCAGGGCCAGTTCGTCGGTGCGCAAGCCCGTGGGGGCTGCTGTCGCTCGTGGCTCGTCTCGGAAGGGGCCGAAATCGGCTCGACTTTCTGTTCGAAACCATGAAGCAGCCGGGGTCTTGACAGTTTTGATACAATTGGCCCCATACAAACTTCCCTCCCTGGGTCTGACCGGCAGTTTGTCTATTCCCACGAGGTGGATCTTCCTATCTTCCGGCGGGGACTTCCCGTTCCCCATGACCTTGTCCTGCTGCCACATGGGCGCGACCACGGTGTCGCTGCATCTGCTGCGCCTCTGGCGGCCCCAGCTCTTCCCCCACTGGAAGCTGAACTGGGAGCTGGCGCGGATCGCGCTGCTGGTGGGCCGCGGGACGGCAAAAGCCACGAGAGAGAGAGAGAGAAGCAACTTCAAAGGGCAAGGGCGAATTCCGATTGGAGCCACAATGAAACACCCGGGTAGATGAAGGTTCGCGAGGGATGGTCCCAATCATGAACGTGTTCTTCCGCCTTTTCAGTTCTTTACATCGCGTTGGCTTCATCTTTAATACCGATCGGCTTTGATGACTCGTTTTTGTTTTTTGTTTTTTCCCCTTCCTCCTTTTTTTCTTCTTTAGGTGTTTTTCCTTTTTTTTCCCTTCTCGTCTGTAAACAGCAAGGTTCAAGGATTTTTCTGCGGGGTGAAAGTCTGGCCAGGGGAAACCGAGGGCAATTCGTTTGGCCGAGTCCACATTCGGATTTTTCGGCTTAGAACTCGCAGAGAAATTCATGGGGTCCAACGAGGTGTCGAATCCCCGTCCCAAGGTTTGCCATGTTTTCCGCTAGCCCCAAACTGTGAATCCACGGACCCAGAGGTTGTACTGGGATATACAGCCACAAAGGCTGTTGAACCCATTTCCCTCTGGGTGGTTTGCCAGCAGGAGTTTCCAGCAAGGATTTTTTTTGGATTTCCTGTTGGTTTCTTAGCGTCCCGGAAGGCTTTGGGGCTCCGAAAGGAGGGGTTGGGAGCGTTCCTTCGAGGAAGCCTGCTGGCGGTGTCCGTGGTCTTGTCCAACTCTGCGGCCGTGCTGCTGTCGGTGGCCTTTGTGAACATGCTGAAAGGCGCATATTTTTTGACTGGTTGGGGTGCCAGTGGGGGGACGTTTGGATCTCGGGCAGTTTTTTTTTGGTGGTTCCCTCTTTTCCCCCCCTTTTTTTTGCCTTCTGAGACTTGAACGTTAAAACTTAGTTTGATGTGGGTTTGGGGACCCTAGCACTTTAAAAAGGAGTCTTTTTTTTTGCCTTCTTGGCTTCTTGGCTTCTTGGCTTCTTGGCTTTTCGGCTTCTTTGGCTTCTTGGCCTCGGCTTCGGGCTTTTCGGCTTTTTGTTGGCTTATGCGGCTGTTGGTGGGCTTTGGCTTTTCGCATCCTCTGCATTCCCATTGGTTTTTGGATTTGGCTTCCCGCATCATCAGCATCACCAGTTTCTCCCTATTTGAATCGTCACTTCTTCGAACATCTACTGTTTTGATTGTTTGCAGAGTAATTGCACCCCTGTTTGAATCAACACTTCTTCAAACATGATGGGGGGGCTGCTGCCCCCCCAACCCCCCCGCTCCCCCCCGCTACTTTTTAGATTTCTTGCAGAGATTGAATTGCACCCCTATTTGAATCATCACCTTTTCGAGCATCCAATTTCGCCAGAAAATGCTGCAAAATACGATATTTTAGGTAATCTGTGTAATCCACGTATGTCTGTATGTATGCACTTTTTCGAAGCCACCCCCGCCAACCCTCCCGCTGCCTTTTAAATTATCTCGCACCCTTTCTTGAATCATTGCACCCCTACTTGAATCATCACTTCTTCCGGCATCATTGGGGGGGGGCTGTCGCCCCCCCCCAACTCCCCCGCTACGTTTTGAATTTTCTAGGGGGCTGCCGTCCCCCCAACCCCCGCCTACTTTTTAGACTTCTTGCAGAGATTGAATTGCACCCCTATTCAAATCATTCACTTCTGCGAACATCATGGGGGACACCCTCGCTACTTTTTTTTTTCAATCGGGGACTGAAATGCCATCCTATTTGAATCATGACCCCGTCAACCCGTTTTGTTACGCACGATTTGTTGGTGATGTTAGGGAGGGGATGTTGAAAACGATGCTGGGGATGTTGACGGGCTGTGTAAAATGCGTCAATTTCGCGAGAAAATGCTGTAAAATACGACATTTTACTGGCCCGGACGAAGAAAGGAAGAACAAAAAACCAAAAACATCCTAAAACTAGATAAAAAATAAATCCGCACCCCTTAAAAAAAAGCACCCTTTTCCCGGATTCCCCACTGACAATTGTCAACGACAACAAAGAGTCCCCTTCTTGCCAGGGTCACTGGACAACTGGGAGGAATCATTGGGCTGATCCATTTTGCTTTGACTGAACGGACTTACTTTCCCTTTTCGGGAGTGATCCAAACATCAGCTTGACATGTCATGGAGGAATTGGGCGAACCATTTGAACGGGGCAACGAAAATGAGGCTATGTGTTTAAATGCCGGGACTCTCAAAATAGATGTTCAACGTTGTTGTCCAGCGTTGTTTCAAAGGAGGGCATCTTTGTAGTGGTGTTTCTTGCGCTGAACTTGATGCAGCTCGAAGCTCTTGAGCATCTCCGACTGAAACTGGCAATCCTGCACACTCCAGCGGCAAGTTGCCCTGTACTCCTGTTGTTGCTGCTGGTGCCCACTGATTGTAGCCGAACAATCTGCGAACTTCGGTTCCAGCGGTTTTTGCAGATTTTATACGCCATCGCCCTACCTAAGTTCCTTCTACACGTTAACGAGTTGCTCTTGGTACGTCCGGTAGTCTCGTATGTACCACCGGCTCGTGCTGTTGTTGAGCACATATACCTGCCCGCGACTCCTGTGTTTCTGGCCAGCGTGTTGAAATAGTTTCTATGAACTGCGTATGTCTGACCCGAAGCATTCGAAGACGTGGACACGTTCAAAACGTTCGAACAGTTCGTGATATCCGAGCAAGAATCCCGTTGGCAGCCAAAACAGGCCAGGCCCAGTTGTCAGCAGCTGAAAAAGGTGCTGCCCCCATTCAAACACAAATGCCATCCACATTCACCCTTGGCGGTTTTCAAACCACGTAGCCTCCAACCATAGGAGAACGAAGCCTTACCCTCTTTCGCACTAACATGGCACCTGAACGGGGGTCCCTCCAAGAGGAGTTTGATCTTCCAGCTCCCACAGGTCATCTTAGTTGGAGGGAGGGCATCCACTTCTCTCCCTACCCTCGCATCCGGGCCTCGGGCGAGCTCCGTGAGCTCTCGGTTGAGGCGGCAACCCGGTGGTGGCGCTGTTCCTCAGCCTGGTGCTGGGCCTGGCGCTGTCGAAGGCCACGCAGCTGCTGTGGCCAGTGCTCATCATCATGACCGGCGCCGCTCGGGGCGCGTGGCGGGCGCGTGAGCACGCGGTTTTTTGAGGTCCAGGGGTGTTTTGTTGGGGTTGCCCCCCAAACAGATATAAGGACACCCACAAGAAGGGGAAGGTTTTTCTCTCCCCAAAAAAAGGAAAGACAACGCCAAGAAGGGGGTCTGCCAAAAGGAGATTCGACTCGGATTCCAAGTGCGGGGTGTTGGAGAGTTCCACGTTAGTCTGGGAGTACCTTACTTTCCTGGCCTGTAGTTGGAAGGCACTTCCGGTACAGAGTGAGCCAATGTTCGGCGAAGTGCTTTTTTTGGGGGAGACCATCTTAGTGAGTTGCTGTTGTTGGTGGAACTGAGAATGTCAATCGACTCGCTTGGTAAACAACCCCCATGTTTTTTGGGTTGGGGGGGCCTGCCCTTTTCAGGTCAGGGTACTATAACAGGACGAAGTGCGCTGGCTCCATCAAATCACCCCAAGCCCAAGAGTGGGAAGCCATCAGGATGGCTCCCCAAAACGTGGCTTCCGCTTGGCTAAGTCGGGCTCTTTTGGGCTGTTCTCGTTTTTTGAAGGATTGGTTTGGGATAGCAACTGGGGTTTCCTTTGGCTTCTTTGCAGGTTCCCTCTTGGAGGGCTCTGGAGAGGTTTTTTGGAGGGTTCTTTTCGAGATCTCTTTTGGAGGACTTGTTTTTGAGTACTGTCTATTGTGAGTCCGGAATAGGCTCAATAAATCATCAGGTTGTTGAGTGCGACAGGTTTCTTCTCTGCATCTTAAATGCACCTTTCTTGTCTTTTGAAAATTCCTTTTTCCATACACAAACGGCCATGCACAAAACAGGGCCTGAATGAGCCTTATATGGAAATGAGCGAAATCCGCCAAATGAGGCACTCAAGGTGGGTCGGTGATTTTTTTGGTGGTTCGGAAGGTCCTTCAGACCTGGACGGTCACTCCCTCCAATGCAACCCCGTTCTGACCAAGGGAGGCAGGAGTTGCTACGGGGCGCCCGGAAAAACAGCAGTGGTTTGAGCTCTCAAAGATGGAAAAGGAACCCGGCACGGGCAATTCCCTACTCCAGATACCCGCTTTTTGAGAGTGTTGGGACGGCAAAAAGATGTCCCGCTAAAAAGCTGTGGGATTCCTTTCGGTATTTCGGTCCACACATGAGTCACAAGCAACATGTGGCATTGAAGGGGTTCAGCCAAAGTCCAAGTTGTACAGAATCAACTCCAGTCCATTTTGAAAACCAAAAGTGGGCTTGTGATTGGCCCCTCTAGTGTAGAAGCGCCCGAAAAGAAGGTCCCCTCTTTTCCTCGGCTCAGACCCTCTGGCCACTGGAGGTCATTGGTGGTAACGGGAAACAAGTCCAAGTTTTCTGAGGTTAAGCGCCAGAAACAGTCAAGAGCCAGAACCGTGAGCTCAGTGGAACCAACATGTCTAGCTGCTTCCCATTCTTTTACCATCCCCCCGTATTTCCCCAGTCTAGAAACCCCCCTTTCAAGCCCCGTAATCTGTGAATGCCGGTGGTTTCTGGTATATTTGCTTAAACCTGGCTGTTCATGGCCATTTTTAGTGAGGGGTTGGAAGGAGCGAGGGGCCATCCCTCAACTTTGTTTTAAAGGCTCAAAGAGCATCCTTACTTCCAAAAAATCAGCTGGCTCCCCCTGAGAAAAGGAAATTACCCTGAGTCTCCATGACCCTGGAACGCTAATGAACCGATCATTTTGGGGCAATCTTGAAGGTGTGGTGACCCTAGATCCGGCATTGATAGTCTTTCAACATGCAACTCCCCCCCCCAAGACCCTAAACCCTAAACCACAAGCCCTAAGCCTTAAACCCTACACACCCTAAACCCTAAGCCCTAACCCCTCCCCCAAAGCTGCTTCCCCCAAAGCGCCGTCCCAGTGAAAGCGCGACGTAGCGTCTCTCTCCGCCTGAGGCCATTGCCACAATCCACGGGGAGCTGTACTTGAGCCATCTGGGCCTCGCCTTGCTGGTGACCGCGATCCTGGTAGAGCAGCCGCTGGACTGGAGATCCAAAAGCTTAGGGGTTCGAAGGATAGCTCAGGCGTTCGAAGCCTCCCAGCCATAGGTGTCCTTTTTAGGTTAGGTTGATTAAGAATAGATGGGTTCCACTGGTTTTAGGTGGGGTTTATTCCAATTACCAGGACCATCTATTAATCCAAAAGGCCACCTATGGTCCCAGCGAAGCTTGGGGCAAGCCAACCTGAAACCCGTGGCAGGTGAGGGTTTCCCAAAAACAACCATGTCTTATACTGCACCTACTTGATTGGAAAACGGCAGTTTGGCCAACGACCATGTGTAAATGGTTGTGTCTGGTTCCAGGGTGCAAGCTACCTAGCCTTTGCCAAGCTTTCGCACGATCCAATCCCAGAATTCCAATCCTAAACTCACTAGGCTTGCGCAACATAAGGCCCCGTTCGGGGTTGCTTTTTGTTTTGAAAGGAAACCAAAAGGCCCCCCCTTCCGATTTTTACCCCGGGCTGAACCAACGTCTTGCGCCGCAAAAATCCAAAGGCTGGGTACTTGGGTATGTGTCAAAGTAGGGAGCCCCCCGGAAATGGCGGGTTTCCTGCTAGCTTCTCTGAAGAAGGTACCGCGCCTCACAAAATAACACAAGCTCATTTGAAGAAACGTAATTCCAGGGGCTTGGCTCGAAGGTTGGTCCTGTGTCGGGTGGGGGTTCTAGACCTGGCTGAGCCCTCAAGCAAGTTGCCCAGTGACCTGTTTCGGCTGATTCCAACTTTCGACTGGGAAGAACCTGGGTCACCGTGTGAAGGAGTTTTTGGTCACCGGCTATGGCTCATCCGAAGAAAAAGGAGTCCTGTTTTCCCCTGGACTGATTTATGAGGTCTGTCAGAATGGTCACCAGTTTCTCGCCCCGATCCCAACTTGAGCCGCGTCGTTTCGGGCGGTATCCGATGCCTAGGTTCCGCCTCATCGTGTTTAAGTCCATGATGTCCGGTGGGCATTCCCTGGACCCGCTGTCAGTGACTCCGAAGCAAGCGGTGTCTACGATCTTTTTGTTCCTCAAGGTTCACCTCTGAGTGCTAAAGCTCCAAGGTCTTGATCAGGGGATTCATCTGCAAGAAAGGAAAACCCGCGAAACGAACCCAGGGGTCAACAGTGGCGGAGGGGCAATGGCCTACAATTTTGTTGAAGTTATCTACCCCAAGAACAACGGGCCCTCAAAAAGGTCTTAAGCTTTGTCCCGAAGCTTGCAATAGTTATAGTATGTTCAAAGGATATTATTCGAAGGGAAACGGACAATTCGTTCTAGCTTTGTCTTTCTGTCCCAAGTCCTGGCAAGGGTCAGATCCGAATGCTTTCATGTGTTTCCTCAGACTTTGTCCGCCCCTTAAACTCAACGGATGCTGTATTTTGTTTCTTCTTCCGTCAGAAGTTGGGCGCACGAGTTGTCCAAGCTGCATGTTGCCCTGCCCCCTGCTCAGATCTGTCCACGCCCGGTTTGGGAAAGGCGCCCCAGACAGCAATCGGCCAATCCACACCAGCAGCAACGCAAGAGCAATGACCACTGCGAGCTATCCCCTCCCGTTCCAGGCCCCAACGGTCGCTTCATCTTACATTTGAATCTCCAACAGCTCCTTTGGTCCCTTTCATTTGCCCCCTAGGACTCTTCGGCTTGAGACTCCACGGCTTCCCATTGCCGCCGTCCACGTCGTAGTCGCTCACGGCTTCGAACTCGCCCTTCCCCCCCCCCCGCCCTTGAGTTAGACAAGGCCTCTCCCGTCCGCATATTGCCCTCCGCCCCCTATGCCCCCCCCTACACTTTTAGCCCCAAATCAAATACACACACCAAATCAACCCTTTTCACACCTCCATATCATCACACGCACCAACTTCAACACCAACAAGTACACATTCATACACCCGTCTTCATTTCTCACTCATCTTCTCACTCTCAACATCAACTCACAAGCTCATTCAAAACAACAATCAGAACCGCATACCATCTTTGCACCACACAACAAGCAATTTTCAACAAGCATACCAACATCTCACCTCAAGATCCCAAGATCATCATTCTTCTCCCTCCTTCCTCCCGCCAACGCACTAACAAGCCCCCAGATCCGTTTCTTCACAAACTCAAGCAGTCTAAAATGAAACCCCAAAATTTCTGTTACCCTCATCCCCCCAAAACGAAAGAACACCACCTTTCCCGCCCAAACACCCCCATTACAAACCCTGGATGGTAAAATGCGGGCTGAAGACACAAGTCTTGGTCAATTCCATTTTGCGGGCGTATTGGCTTATGCAGTTGTCAGAAAGCATCACACTGCATGTAGGTTCACACCCTCAGTAGCGCACATATTTGCAGTGGTGAACGCAAGAAACTCCACCCTGTCACAGAAGGTGTCATACGCAGAGCCTTGGTCTTGAGGACAACAAGCTAGCCGTTATCCCCATGACACGCATTGTCATGCGTAGTGGGCGGCGCTATGTGCTTGCATGGTTGCTCGTTTGCTGGTGGTGTTTTGCAGTGAGCCCTCAGCAGTCCGTTTTTTCCGCATTGCCGCCACGACTGATGTTTCGGAGCTTTTGACAAAGAAGTTGTCGGAGATAGAGAATGGGCAGGTGGAGAACTGGATCAGGGCACAGTTGGAGGATTTGGAGTATTCAGATGTTGCAGATGCAGCGTGCAAGGCGCTTGCTGGTTACAGGAGAAAGGGTCTTTTGCTGCTCTCTTTTGATGACCTCCTTGCGATTCTCACAACCAGCATTCGACAAGGAGTGGCAAGACTGCTGTACAACCTCATCCAGAGAGGTGTTCCACGAACCGCGCCCGCTGCTTGGAGCAACCCTTGCACAGACTGTGATCCTATTTTGCAATGTTATCACATTTCGCTTCTGTTTTGTGGTTGACGTCTAGGTGTGGGGGGGCTAATGCTGTGGGTTCGCCCTTTCCCCCTGCAAGTTCTGGCTGATGCCTCTGACATAGACATAGATTTTGCCTGTGCGTTGGAGAAGGCGGGGTTGGATGCAACTGGTCGATTTTTGGAGACAGACGAGGGCAGTTTCCGGCAACATCTATTAGCAGAAATTTGGGATGATACGGTATTCTATGTCAGGGACAGCTACAAGAAAATTGCAGACATCATGAATGCCACAAAGCCTCCAGCTATGTCGCTTTTGGGCTCTTCGGGCATCGGCAAGTCCAATTTCATTGTCTACCTCATGTGGCGCCGCTTCCAAGACCCCGAGTTGAGCAAATTTCCTATTTTGTGCATAGGGGCGACAGAAGGGTGCAGTTTCTGAAGGGGCAACAGCCATGAAAAGTTGACGGGGCAATCGTGCAGAGCGCTATGCCACGAGCCCTATACATCATGGATGCCAGCATTGATATGAAGAACGAAGTTGCGTGCCAGAGTCTTTGGAACCTCTGCGAGGAAGCCAGAATCTTCGGCCTTCAACACAGAGCATTTCAAATATGCCGACAACTGCGGCGGGCGTTTTTTTTCTACCACCATGGACTTTGGAGGAGATGCTGGATGACGAGGTGGCGAGGCTCCACGGATTGTCAAAGAAGGTTGTTGAAGAGCGCTTTGCTATTTTTGGAGGCACTGCAAGGCTAGTGTTGCGAACGGACAAGGCGGAGGCAGTCAATGACAGGGAGAGGCTTGATGAGGCTCTGCAGGACCCTGAGGCACTATCAAACCTGAAGATTGCCTCCGACATGAAAGTCATCAGCAAGACCACACACTTGCTGGTGAAGATGCACCCAACAGAAGGTTTTGGACGGTTTGCTGTAAATATATCTTCAGACTATGTTGCACAAGAGCTCGTAAAGCGAAATAGGGCAGACAACGCCAGAGAGCTTTGGAAGGCAATGCGGGCAGGAATGCTCACTGGCACAGGACCTGTGCTCTTTGAACAGGAGTTTCACAACTTCATGAAGGACAAGGGCATCAAGAAGTTCAAGCTTCGAGCACGATGCCTAAGTGATGGTAGAGAGGAGGACCTTTTATTCAATGGCGCTCTGGACGCTGAGCTGGTTTCAGGCAATCCAAAGGCGAACGTTCAACCCGAAAAATACTACCTGCCACAGAAGCTCAACTTTCAAGGGATTGATTCCTGGACCTCAGAAGGAATGTTTCAGTTGACCATCGCAGACAGCCATGCTATCAACTTTGGCAATGCCACGTGTCAAGTGTTTAAGGTGCTTCGAAACCTGCATTCAAACTTTGCCAACGGCAAAGTGCGGCTCTACTTTGTTGTCCCGGACTCCCGTTTCGACAAATGGAAGAAAGTGCAGAACATTACTCCGCCAGAGGCGGAAAGCATCATTGAACAGTGGGTAGTGTGTTTCGAGGAGAACCTTCCGGCATGATGCAGAGGAATGCCGACGAAAACTTGCGTGCTGGGAGAGGCAGTTTTGCTGATAACCTTGGGGTTGCTGTTTTGAAGCATGCAAAGAAGGAGGTTCAGGGTCCACTTGTCAATGTGTGCTATTGACTCAAGCACTACACTCTGAGCAACTCTGCACGCAAGTAAGGGCGAGCCATCCCTTCAACGGAATAGTCTAGTATTCTTGTCCCAGTTTCTTTTCAACCCCTGAAACCTTGTATTTGACACTGCTCCAATTCGATGTGCGTTCTTTCTCGAAAATCCATTTTTGCGGTAGATCTTGACCTCGTCTCCAACCCTAACAGGGTGGATATTCACGGGTTTTCACTCCGTTCATTTCAAGTTTTATATTAACTTCCATGTGGCTACTATCTTTATGTGCTTCATTTGGGGTCATGCCATGTGCAGAATGGCTCATTTTACTGTTGTATGTTAGCATGATCTCGGGAATGTAATCAACCCATTGTATATTGGCCTTTCCCTTTTTCTCGTTTGCATCAACCCTCTTGAAAAACATATCCTTAAACGTGCGAATGAACCGCTCGGCGAAATGTGGGTGCCCTCGTGTTTTATAGTTTTGGATCCCTTCGTCCTTGAAAAATTAACAAGATCTTGGGTATTGAGACTCCCCTCACAATCCGAATAAAGTAACTTGGGTTCCCTCCCATTTTGTTTAAACCCTCCATGATCCCAGCAGTGATGTGTGCGGGTTGCTTAGACATGATAGGCACTACCACGGCTTGACGGGAAAATACATCTATAAGCAATAAGCCTGTTCTAGATTTTTGGTTATCTAGATCTGTTTTTGATATAAAGAACAGATCCAGTTGATATTCATAGTTGATCTTGGGGCAATGAAGGAATTGTATCCAGACAGTTTTTTTTCTTTCTACGCTTTCTTGGAACCAATCCCTGACATCTTGCATGGTTATCGTTGCATCTTTCTTTTTTGCATCTTTGTAGGTGGTGGCAATACTAGCGAAACCCGCCCGGTCAAAATACATATCACTGATATACTGTCTTTATCACTCATATAAATAACACTATAAAATAAATATCAATATGATATTTTATCGCTGAAGCATCTATTACAAGAAGCGCAGAAGGCCATGACATTATCCTTTGTATGGGGAAGGTCATTGCACAACCTTTGACAAGTCAATTTAGAGTTTATATTGCCAGAATCCATTGACAACACGAAGCCGCAGCCACAATTTGCACACTTTCCATTGACATTGTCCTTCAACCATTCGGCATTTACATAATTGTCTTTTGGGATCTCAAATCTGTTTTTACGATCCTGTTCCTTGTATGCTAACACCTTTCTATCAAAATAATTCATAATGCATTTCGCGTTAAACTCTTCATTTAAACCAGTACTGTATTTGTAAAACTTGACCCTGTTCAAATCCCTGGCTCGTGTGATCGCCGTCCAAAGCCACTCACGAGTTATCAGATGATGGTTCCAATCAAATATCACGACATCGTCATCAATGGAACACCCCTGAACAGAATGACAAGTATAACAGAAATGGCTTCTCAAGATACCAATATGTAGTGTTATCTCTTCTCGTGCTTTGATATTAGCAATTGTTATCCAAGGGTCAGTGATATTAATTATCTC